TTATCACTAGTTTATGTCAGAATTTTTTATATGAGTGTATCAATAAGACGAATCAGATAGAGATTGTTTTCTTGTTTTATTAATCAGCAGGTTAGGTTTATCATATCGTATATTCTTAAAAAGCCACGATGATAATTAATCAAATATCTGTCGTTCAAACAGCATTTTTATTGATATGATTTCACTGAAGCGTCTTGTTTACATTCCATTTCGGTGTATGTCATTGTGTTAGTTTCGTTCGTGATATGAATATTCAGTCTATAGATAAATCGCAGAACAAGAAAGCTGGTAAGTGGGGCGTTTTCAGAATACACTCCTTCCTTCTACAAATAAGTGTATCTTGGTAAAAAGTGGCCATAATATAATCTCTCCTTCAAATAAGTGTATCTTGTTAAAAAGTGGCCTTAATACAATCTCTCCTTTAAATAAGTGTATCTTGGTAAACAGTGGCCATAATATAATCTCTCCTTCAAATAAGTGTATCTTGTTATAAAGTGCTCAGATCTTCTGGCTATTGTCCAATTTACAAAGTAAACACTTTATGAAACAAAGATATATTAAATGTTTGATTATTTTTGGGAATATTGTTCTTTGATCTACGATAAAATAACAATGAAGTAACCTTGGGAACAGAGATTTTGTTGGTGCTCTTTAACAATACCTTTACGATACTTAATGTTTAAGTTTGTTTGTTTGTTTGGAATTAAGCGCAAAGCTACACAATGGGCTATCTGTGCTCTGCCCATTAAAGGTTTAAGACAGAAATTCTTTAACTTGTCGGTATTTATTTCGTTATAAATAATCAGATTACAGATCATAATAACCTTGAAACTATCGTCTCTGTTTTAGGGTGTGCTGTAATACATTCACTGAATTCTTACCTGTTGTTTGTTTGTTTTTAACTTTGAGCTTGTTTAAAACAGTTTCAGGGCATCGTTCAGAAGGTAATTAGACCGTTTTTCAACATTACATTTATCACGAATCAGGTTTTATAAACAAAACTTCAAACATTCAAGAATCGTTACTGGTATGAAAATTGGCTCAGCTTGTGACAATGTTGCTCTAATGTACGATTAGCTTGACTACGTGGGAATTAAGAGAAATTAAAACTCTTGTTTGTGATATTCAGGTTTCTTAAAACAAATGCCACTGACAGTTGTTAAAATTGTTCCCAGTCCTACAGTCACATCGTGAAACATCTTAACTACTGAGTCTGTAATGTTTTAAAAGTATTCTAAAAAATAGTCTGTCTGTTTCTTTGTGTTCTTTTTTAAACTAGAGCTATTTTATGTTCTTCTTCAGTGCTCATTTTTACAGTCGAAGTATTCAAGTGAACGGGTTCAAAGTTGAAAGGTTTCGACGTTCCCAAACAAACTTCTTTGATTAATCCTAACATAAATTGAAAGCATACAAAATTAACATTCGGTAAATTCACGATGCTCGTGTTATTATTATTTTTTAACCAAAGTTAACTTTACTAGTTAATTCGTGAATTAGAGATAATAGGCACATTTGACCTTTGACTTCTGACATCAAGATAACAACGATCTTTCGGCTCAACGATATTGGATGACCTCTGATCGAAAGATGGAAGTACCTTGTAAATGAGGATTCTTAAATGACGTTCTCATACAGTCCTAACAAGCTTTAAACCAATGATTATTGGTTGGTTTCTTCCCAACATTAAGGATAACATTCAATGTAGCTACCCCTTTCCCAGTGGCACTTCGTAAGTCTAAAGGTTTATAACGCTTAAAACCGGGTTTCAGTACTCGTGGTTGGCACAGCACAGATAGCCCATTATGTTGCTTTGTGCTTAACTACAAAATAAACAAACAGAATAGCGACATTGACAATAATTTTGTTTGTTGCTTTATGCCTATTAAGTTAAAACTTATAAGGGTTCATGACCCTAGCAATTTTCAAGGCAAAAAATGTTTTTCTACGGTTGCTCGTGAAGTAAGAACATTCAAGTATTATTACAATTTTACCTCCTGGCGGCGTTGTTACTTATTAAGGACAAAGCCACCGCGAGTGTCGAAACTTAATGCGTTATAAGCCCTCATATATATACCTCTGAGTCATCAGAGGGGTGAGGGTGTTGTTATTTAATGTTTTCCTGGTAATTTCACATGCGGATATAAAAAGAAAATTATACATAAATACATTTTGTTTCTTGACTTTCGGGCAAAGCTACCCAAGGGACATCTGCGTTAGCTGGCTTTAAATGTGAAGTGATAGACTAGAGGGAAGACTGCTATTCTACACCACCCACTGCCAGCTCTTGGGTTACGCTCTACCAATGAACAGAAGGATTGACCGTCACATGATAACACCCTCACGACTGAAAGGGCGAGCATGTTCATGGACTGGTTTCGATCCCGCGATCCAACCACCAGGCCAAGCGACGCCTGTTCGGTTCTGTAGTAAATTATGACGATGTTCAAGTTGTCATTGGCAGCTCTGGCAGTAAGGATGAAAAACAAACAATGAATTATTAACTATTAATATTTAATATTAATTTGTTGCCCCCAGTGGTACAGTGGTATGTCTGCGAACTTACAACGCTAGAAACTGGGTTTCGATACCCGTAGTGGGCAGAGCATAGATATCCCATTGTGTAGCTTTGTGCATAACTTCAAACAATCAATTAATTTGTTTTACTAATTTTTATTTAAAGTAGAATGTCGTGATGCTAATCAGTTTATTTCTTGCAAATTCACCCCCTCTCCCCAAAAGAAAAACATACTGCTAGTTTACCTGATAATGTTAAGAATTAAGAACCCTCTCTAGCTTCTTTAATTGAAAACTTATTATTTCGTTGTTCGAGAAATCGGGATATAGATAGTAGGTTTTGATGGCAAGCGAGCAAGATCACAGGACTCAATTGGATTAAAAGACCTTTTGTTTTTGCATTCATATGGTATACTTATTTGCTGGTAAACCATCTTTCAGTGGGTCTAAGAGTAAGTAAATAAGATACAAATACTTACAACCAGAAATAAATTGTTCAAGGGTTTGTACTTTTACATTTACCTGTGCCAGGCGTGACCTAGTGTGTCCAGATTACGAATCTGTGAATCCCAGGTTCGCGTCCCATTATCGCAGAAAAAATATTCCGCACTTTGGGATCGTGGGTGCATTATAAGAGTGACGCTCAAATCCCATCATTCAATTAGAGTAGCCTATGAGTTCACATGTAGTGCTGTTGATTAGCTAACTTTCCTCTAGCCTATCAGGTCAAAGTTGGAGACTGTTGTGAGCAAAAAAGACCCTTTTTAGTTTTTCGCAAAACTTCTGACATAAAAAATAAAACTTCTCGGACAGATTTAGTGAATTTTACAGTAATCAAAGAGTATATCTCTTCACCGGATTACTGATATGTTGAATCTAGTTGAAACGTATATGATATGAATCTGTTACATATCAGAAAGAAAAGTTGTATTACTTAAATTTAAATTTTAAAACAGGTCGTTCTGAAAAGAAAATTGTGCTCAAGTGAAACCACAGCGCATTGAGGACCGAGATTATATCAGAAATAGGTTTAGAATAGGTTTATGTAGATAAGCGTGTCCGATTACATGCAAACCTTTAAGGTACAATAAAAAAAAGCAGAAAAAAAGAGGTACTTAACTTGTGAAGTTTGTTTGTTTGGTTTAGAGTAAAGCCATGTTGAGGTATCTCTTGTGTCAAACGCAGGGAATCGAACCCGGATTTTAACTTTGTAAATCCGTAAGTGCGCTATAAAAGTGACGATCAAATCTCACTATTCGATTTAAGTAGCTCTCTAACGGATCAGTTAAAAATTAAAGACAAACTAAACCTCCTTATGAATAAAGTAATAACAGAAATAAAAAAAAATCAACTGCAGCTTAATAAATTCTGTAAACATGAAGAACTGGTTGAAACAGCTATAAGTTAAAGGGGATTATGTTATGCGGTCAACGTTTCGGCGACTGACTTTTTATAACTGAATTTTGTTTTTGTAATCTACCACGTGTTTTCGTATAATTGTTATTTCAAGTCATTTAGACAGTGCAAAAATTATATTATTATTCTTGTATTTGTTTAACATTTTAGAATTATCCAGAAAGTTGAAAAGAATGCAAAAATAAACTTTCATGAATTTTGATTCAAGGTTTTGTTTTTCTCTCTGAATATTTTCAATACTTTCAATTGGAGAAACTTAACTACTTTTTGTCGGATTGACTCCATAGGTAAACTACATATGGTTCTCGATTTATCATTAAGTTATGTTCTACTCTGTCTTTTCTTTAAGAGTATTGGTTAAATTGTTTGATATACATATATAAATACATAATATTCATTTTATTGCTTTTCATTTGTTATTTAAGAAGGAACAGCATTTCAATTTAGCTAATGTTTAGTTCTGACCTATAAAGTGAGCGTGCTTTGTTGAACAGGTAACGACTTACGCGTTAATATTAATACGAAACTAGTATGCTTCCAGAACACATAATGGTAGTTTGACCACTTCAGGCTCACCTGTCATCTATTTAGAAATAGTGTCATTCATTTCACCATCAGTTTAAATTTCTCACTTAAAGGTCAAAGGTACAATAAGTGTTACGAAAGCATGTGTTTATAAATCACGTTTTGATATTCAATTATAGGGTTTTTTTTTTGTAAATCGTCTAAGTATTTATTTCATGTTTGATTTGCTTATATATGTCTGAGCGTATTGCAGCACAACTAAACAAGTATTTGGCTTAGAAGTTTCAATATTGTTTATAGTTTAGCAGAACAATATAGTTTAATTTATTTAAGGTCATAAACTATATTTAAGAGAAAAAGAAGCAACAGAAAGGTATACTTAGCTTTGTAAGTGAGCGCATTGACTTCACTGAACCTTACTGCAATCAAAATTTAATGATATGACAAATAAGTAATAGCATCTGAAACTGTAGGGATGTTGAGCTAAAATGCGATACATTTAAAAGTTTTAAATGTATTTTCTTTTTCGCTTTTCCAACCAACAGATTCGAACTCCATCATTCAAAACAAACAGAAGACCATAAAATATTGGGAAAGACTGACGATGGCTCAGCAAACTTTTGATGGTTCGAAAGAAGTTTCTCCTATCCACTCACGAACGGAGATTAATAACTCAAACTTGGTCTGCAAAGAAAGATTGGCCATTCAGAACGAACACCCTAAATATAATACTACGTCACAATTAAACATTTCTCAGAAGGAACCCACTCTTCTCGACCTAAACAATTATTGTAATGATTCATTAAATATAACCGTAAATACTTTTTCTGGTATAGAGAACACCATCGCACTGGACAGCCTTGAAATTGAGCACGAACGAATACGAAAAAGTGGTAAGTCACTGACCCGACTACTTGACAATTCTCAAGATTCTTCGTTGCGGAGCGATCTTTTCACAGAAAGACTATCGGATGGAAGTGTTGGTGAAGTAGAAGATCGTTTTCCGAGTACCTATGTTAATATTGGTCACCGAAATATCTACGAAAACAAAACATTTGAGCCAACATTTTACATACAAACAACTGCACAGTCTTTCAAAATGGAGACAAATTTTATTGAGCGAGAAATTCGACTCCAGAAGGAGAAGAAAGATATGCTTGCTAAAGAAAGACATAACATTTTTCCGAATGCTATAAATCAAGTGTCTACAAGTGATAACCCCTCGACAATAGTAGATAAAATTCAGGTACCTCAGCATCCAATGGAAAGACTATCATCTTCTCCTCCATCCGTGCACCAAAAGACGCAAAATCTTTATATTAGTTACAACATCAATTCGAGGATTGCCATGGAGATTCAGGAACTCAAAGAACGGGAGAATGAACTTAGACAACTGCGAGGTCAAGCCCAGCCACCTCTTGTCAATGAAACCTCGCTAAACAATGAAAATAATGACATTAATCTTGGAAATACCCAGTCTGAACATTCTGTAAAGTATGAAAGCTTATTTGATGATAATCTATGTTCTGAACGTCAGTCGTCAATTACAAGCTCTATCCAGCCTGAACATAATGTCACTTCAGCGATATCATTGAATGATTTACATGGTGGTCAACACCACGATTTGGAATCTGCTTTCACTTATAGGTGGAAAGAGAACATAAAAGTGCGTCCACTTTCAGACCAGGAGAATGTGGAAACAGGGCATTATTGTAAAGCATCAAATGAAACCCCAGTAGAAAGAGAAATCCGTTTAGCTAAAGAAAGAGAAGATGCTTTAAGGAAAGAGCGAGGTTGGTTAACTCCGATGGCATCAGAAGGTAAAGTATGGAAACCTCATTCTCAAAGTTCTGTCTCAAGCAGCGTGCCAAGATTAACATCATTTACATCTTCTATGTTTAGTGGCAACACTCAGAAAATGCTTGCCTCATCTAGAATCCAGAAGGAAATAGATGAACAGACACAGCGTGAGATGGCGCTTCGAGCTGATGGTCACATTCAAACAATATCTCAAGAAAGAACTGATTCTAAGGTTGCCCGGTTAGGTGAGGGTGATATCACCATTCAAGAAGAAGTAGTTTCAGAAACTATAGAACCACAAAAACATGATGATATAATTCTATTTTCAACCCAACAGAATGAAGCTCCATCAACACATGTATTATCAACTCAGTCGCGTAATATGTGTTCTGATGATTCTTTGCGACAAATACCAACCCAGATTCATGGCGTAGGAATGGACAATGCTCCATCACCAGCTAAATTAACTTCTGTCACGAATGGTTATACTTATGATAAGGAACCCAGAAATCCTCCTTCCCCTCCTAACTCTATGAGCTCTTCTAATACCATCTCCCTGCCAGGACGAAGGTTCATTCAGAATCCAACAGGAAATAGAGGAATCAGTATGCACAAATTCATTGCTAGTCGAGGAAGGGAAATTCGTGCTTTTTCGAGCTTAAAAAGTCCCTCAACCAGCAAACTCCCGAATTGCAAAGAAAGCCTCGCACATCCTTTTCCCATTAGAAGTTCTTCAGTTGTACAGCCAATAAAACACACAAACGAGCATTTCAACACCTTGCCTCCTATGGTTATAAGTAAGGACAATAAGGAAGAAAAACCACCTATGCTGAATAGAAAGTCTCTTCCATCTGCGGAATCAAAGATTCAAGAGGAATTAAAGGAGCTAAAAGATCGTGAGGAGGAGTTGAGGTAAGAAATAAGGCTTGTACTTCTCTTCTAAGAGCAGACATCTTAAATCAAATTAAAAACTAGTATAAGCGAATTGGAAGTTATATACCAATATTTCTGTTGGCTACTCTAAAGGTTCTCATTGAAAATTTGCATTTAAAATTATATATTTGCATTTCACGAACACATTTATTGGTTGTTATTTTCGAGTCATTATACCAAAATTGTCGTTGGCTACTGTAAGGGTTCTCGTTATACTTTTACCCTTAAATTACGTAATTGCATTTCAAGAACATTTATTGTTTGTTTTTCTTGTTTTTATTTGAGGTTTTGGGATATTTAAAACTTTTATCTACTTGAAATTGCAAGATCTTTCAAAATAAACCATTACATGTACAGGTCACCAATAAATAGTGTTTTCATTCAATATTATATTTTCCTTTTATCTGGTTCGTAAGTTATTGCGCGTGTTCTGTTTTAAGTATTTTTGTAAATGTGAAATTTTCAATACAGGAGGTACTACTTCAGTCTAGTAAACTTCAAGTGATTTGCGATTTTCTCATTTCGAATTGAGTTTTTTTTTATCCAAATAGCATTTCACTTTAAACAATTAAAGATTCTGAAATACAATATATAACGGAGCATAAAGATAAGGTAAAAAGATTAGGTTAAAAAAGTAGATGGTCATTAGGCTGCTTCTGTTTATGTTTATTTCTCTTGTGTTTTTCTCTGATTTCCATCATTTTGGGTCCACTTCATCCAGATAAAGCATACCTTCGACCATCCACTCCCGCTTTACGTTTTCCTTCTTCAGACGTACTTTGCTTTCGATGTTTAGGTAATATTTAATTTTCTAAGAAGTAGTAATTAAACAAATTATGTTGTAATCACTTTACGGGGGTTAAAAAGGGAAATTATCCTTGCGCACTTTATCTTTCAGAAGACGTTTGACTCCAAGCAGCTTCAATAGGTTTTTGACCATTCTTTTCACATCGACCTCTACTATGTCTGTTGTTTTCCAACCGACCTGATGACCTCTGGTATTGGGGAAAAGGGTTCGTCGGTTCTGGATACGGCATAGGTAGTGTGGTTGGTTGACATATGATTACATATTCTCTTTTATCTTCAGTCATATGTTTTTAGAATTCATTGTTTGATAAACCGTTTGAAATCTCCCATAAGATATCTTTCCCTAATTAAAAGTAACATAATAAGACTGTTTCCGCAATTTGAAAGCGATATTGGCAAATATTTCCTTTAGCATTATAAATGATGGATGTAACCTAAACTTGTGGAGATTGGCATCTATATTGTTTTAGATGTTTCATTAAATGGGTTACCACATTCAAGTTGTTAAAACCCAAGACCTACACATGGCTACGTCCTTCGGAACTTAACAATATTTAAATTTTATATTAGTGAAAACTGTGGCTTCTGAAGCGAAATTGGCCTTTTAGAAAGCCCATTTTTCGTTGTAAAAGGGCTCTTTCTCAACTAATTGCTACAATGTTGTTTGAAATGAGGCACTTGTTTTTGGAAAAATAGCTTTTTGTAATATGTTTTATCGTTGAACAAAACATAAGCGAAAGAATAGGTGCAGCATTACGTAATTTTACTTGAAATTTAATTGTGTTCACGTTTATTCGGAGAACTTATGGCTTATTACTGAAAGCGCAACCTGTAGAGCAATATTATTATAAATAACAAACAAGAAAGCGTAGAAAAGTGTGCCAAGTTAAGTAATGGATATAGTCATTCAAACAGTTTCAATATAGTTTAAGGAATGATAAACTAGTTTTCTGTATTTAGTATACCTGCCACATCAGGTTTAGGGCTTTTCTTTGTTATACTTTTCTTGTTGTTTTACTATAGGAATATGTTAAAACAAGAAGAACAAGTTCGTATCTAATCTGAGAATAATAAGTGCTTCTTTCTTAGCATCTGTGCCACTCTTTCTTCTAGTAGCTTTCTAAATGGTAATTTATATATTTGAAACCTATAGTTATGTTTGGCATTGTAGTGTTTTATGAGACGTACTCAATTCGTTCAGCGTAAGCGTACTAAAAAGTTGGGGATTATCGAGGAAACTAACCTATATATTTCTTTTGGACTAAGAAGTAATACACACACGCCATAATTATAATACTCGTTTTTCCATCTGCATTTTCCATTACTGTATAAAAGGCTTTTCAATTGTTTGCAATATATGAGATTTTGTTGTTTTTGCTTTATTTCTTTGTAAATGCAATATTCTCGATCGAAACATGTTTTAATAATAGCTTAATCTTATGTTTTCAGGACCTATTGGATTCATTTTTAGAGATTATTTTAATTGGGTTGTGTTTTGTGACACACCCAAATCGAAACATAACAAGTGATTAGTTTTATCTCACAACTTACACCGCCATTTATACAAACACAGAATAAACATTTTATAGAATTTATAGAGTGCTAATATTACTCAAAGCTGCTGTATTCTCACTTCATCAACTATAGTGTCTTCTATTGTAAAGCTCTTTTATTTAGGAGTTAGCTTGCATGTGTTTGGTCAAAGAACTAAGCTACAAATAACAAAACCCTGATCATATATTTTTAATATTTTATTCATTATGTCCGATTAATTCCATCCTTTATATTTTCTTTAACACCCATTTATCTGAGCGAACTTCGTAAAAATGTTACTGATCCAATGTGGTTTGTTTTTTACTAATCTTCAAAGTATTTGAATCTCTTTGAATTCTGGCCTTTCAGACTTCAGAGGGCGCACCTTCTTGGCAGTTCTCAGCCCAATCTCCACAAATTAGAGGACGACGACCAGCTGGAACCATTTGATCAAGAGAGGTCAAATAGCAACCCTGACCTATCCGAAAATGGTGTTTTGGAGAGTCCTGTAGATCCAATAGTACGTTCGTATAACTTGTTTGTTTGTTTTTTGAATTTCGCGCAAAGCTACACGAGGGCTATCTGCGCTAGCCGTCCCTAATTTAGCAGTGTAAAAGTAGAGGGAAGGCAGCTAGTCATCACCATCCACCGCCAACTCTTGGGCTACTCTTTTACCAACGAATAGTGGGATTGACCGTCACATTATAACGCCCCCCACGGCTGAAAGGGCGAGCAGATTACGAGTCGAGTGCCTAACCACCTGGCCATGCTGGGCCTCGTATAACTTATTTTAAGCTACCGAATAAAGCGTCTGGTACAACATTGCTTTAAATACGTGAAAGTCGTCATGTTGAATTATATATTTCACTCATAAGTATTTAGGATTATTAATGTAGTTTCCTCCCGTTGACGCTGTGGATGGTTGACCTCTCCAGGAATAAGAAAACTAGCCTGAATGACAGTAAAGTTAGTTCAAATTTAAAATAATAATAATAAATTAATAAATGGTGTTAAATATTAAAAATATAAAAACAATAATTATTATTATTAATCTTTACCATAATAATCTGATCATTGAATAATTTAATAAAATTGATAAATATTGCAATTAATTTTACTTAATGTAGTTCACACCATAATAGTTCTTGTTCGTGAAACTGACGATATAAGTAAAACCTAGACCACTAATATTTTGTCTGTCTTATCGCAACCAGCCTAAGTAGCACTGGTATTGAACGAAAGGCCTCGTCGGCACTGACTATGGCAGACGTAGTGTGGTTGACATATTGTAACATATTCTTCTTTACTTTCACTCATAAGTACTTAGAGTTACTAATGTAGTTTTCTCCCGTTGACGCTGTGATTGCTGGACCCGCTCCAGGAACAAGATGACTAGCATGCTGGCTCGCCAGTTCTTCTGAATGATAGTAAAGTTGATTCAAATACAAATAATATATAAATAATTGGTGCTAGTTATATAAATAATAATTGTACTATATTATTAATCCTTACCCTAAAGTACTCCGGTTGGTCAGCAGTAAGTTGACGGACTTACAATGCTAAAATCCGGGACTCGATTCCCCGCGGTGTACATAGCGCAAATAACCCACTGTGGCTTTGTGCAAAACAAACAAACTTACACTAATCTGATAAGTAAATGACATAATATACTTGGTATTAGTTATAATTAACTTACTTAATGCAGTTTACATCGTACGGGAAGTTGCTTAAGGTAGTTGATATAATTAACACCTAGATCACTACTATGCCTGTCTTATCCCAGTCGACATGATGAGCACTGGTATTGGACAAAAGGCCTCGTTGGCACAGAATACAGCAGATGTGGTTGACATATTATTTGCATTTATTCATGGGATATTAAAGTATATAGATTTTTCGAAATTTTTCCTAATCACTATAGTTATATATTAACACAATCGTAACAAGGTTCAGTTTTCCACTTTGTTTTACATTCTTCTTGGTTTGTTTTTTGAATTTCGCGCAAAGTTACACGAGGGCTATCTGCGCTAGCCGTCCCTAATTTAGTAGTGTAAGACTAGAGGGAAGGCAGAGGAAAGGCAGCTAGTCATCACCACCCACCGCCAACTCTTGGGCTACTCTTTTACCAACGAATAGTGGGATTGACCGTCACATTATAACGCCCCCACGGCTGAAAGGGCGAGCATGTTTGGTGTGATGGGGATTCGAACCCGCGACCCGCAGATTGCGAGTCGAGCGCCCTAACCACCTGGCCATGCCGGGCCATTCTTCTTGGAAACAATCCTTGTGTGGTAGCTAGTAAGACGTGAAAGTGACAGTTTACATGTTACGCGATTTTGTTTAACCAGCAGACTTAACATTCAGCGTCTGCGTGTTTGTTTGTGTATTGCGCGCTCCCCACCGCAGGGAATCAAACACCGGATTTTTTAGTTTTAAGTCCGTAAGCCTACCACTGTTCCGCCTGAGAACATGGCCGTGTGTTTGTTTTAAAATGAAAACTGAAACCCCCCATTAAACTTTGAAACTATCGACTGAAAACATTGTGTTTATCGTTTGTTTTAAAATGAAAACTGAAACTTCCCATTAAACTTTTGGAACACGTTACGAAATAGTGACAGTGAAATAAAATCATAAGCTTCAGTATATAAAGATGCTCTTGGCTTTTCTGGTAAAATGAATTATTTTAATATCATTATGAGATAGAGGCTGAACATAGAATTTATCCAAAACAAAAGCTCTACGGTGCAATATATCTAGATAAAATATTTCTAATCGTCAACTTACCGACTTTTTTTTTAATATTGGAGAGTTTCTGTTTCATTTCGGATATTCGCACACAGCTGCTCGAGGGCTATCTGTGCTAGTCGTCCCTAATTTCTTATGATAGACCAGCGGGAAATAAGGCAGGTAGTCAACAGCACCCACCGCCACTGTTAGACTACTCTAATCAAGTAGAGGGATTTGACCGTCACCTTTATAACAGACCTACGATACGATGATTTATTTTTTCGGTAACGAGACGCAAGTGCTGGTTTGTTTGTTTCATTGAGCTTCGCGCAAAGTTACTCGAGGGTTATCTGCGCTAACTGTCCCTAATTTTGAAGTGATAGATTAGAGGTAGGGCAGCTAGTCAACACCACACATGCAAACTCTTCGGTTACTCTTTACCAACGAAAAATGGGATTTCCTGCCATATCATAACGCCATGATCGATGAAAAGGGCGAATATTTTCACTGAAGGGATTCGGACCTGCGACCAGCACACTGCATGTCGAGAGCCCTAACCACGAGACCGTGCTAAGCCCTGCGAGTGATCATATTTAGAAATGTGTATGTCCGTTATACCAATCAATAGCATGAACAAACTAAACAAAAACTGTAAAATCACCCATTTTCTATCTAAATAAATATAAAACCCTAGGAAAAACTACTGAAATTAGTTAAATACAATGTTGAGGGTACTTTTGTTTACATTTTTAAGTGACTCATATGGTATTAGGAATCAGTAATCAACAATCTGTGCATGAATAGTTTAAAAACACGTGTTTAGAAATCCACTTGTGTCCAGACCCTATCGATAATTTAGGGCTAATAAATCCAAGTATTTTTTAAATTGTTACTTTATACTTTAAGTTGTGGAATAATTACTTGAAATTTAAGCTCAAACATCATTGGAATTATCACCCCTGTTTCAGCATATCTTGTACATAAAAACACTGCAGATGGTGTGATCGTGTATGTACGTTGTAGTTATCATTTCCGGAGTTAACCTATATTATTGAATTGATAGTTAATAAATTTAAAGTGAACTCGTAAAAGTAGTAGAATTGAGCCATTTACAATAAAACTACCCTGAAAACTCGGTTCCTTTAGATGAATAAATAAACTTCTTATTTGCAATCTATCTTACCATATCCCCCCTCACACACACACACACACCAGTAGCTCATCGGAAAATCTGCAGGTCCATATGTTCCAAATGCATATTTCCCTAGGAATATAGCTAAATATTATAAAAATGAATAAAAGTTAAACATGATATAACACCAATACTGTTTAATCCATGTAGACGAATCGTACAGGAAATTATCTTATTCTCAATGTTCAGTGTATTGTACAAAACTAAAATCTATGCGAAACTTATTTCTTGGTAATGAACGCATATATTTCTTTTTCAGCCTTCGATTTTCAGTGGCCAAAGAAGACGAAGTTTGCTCATCGCCCAATGGGAACAGAAGATTCAGGAAGCCTAGGTTAGGTCTTGAAGGTCATTGAACTCAGCTTGAACTCCCTCTATCGCTTAAAAGTTACAATATTACTTTTTGCAAAAGAACTGACGTGCTGAGTGAGTATCACAAGAGCCAACAACGATATTTATATGTGTGTGTTCTAGCTATCTGTAAATGAGCATGGGACTTAAGAGCTGCGATTTCTTCATTCTGTGTTGTTGTTTTTCTTTTTTAGATTTAGACAGTGGAGACAATGCTGGAATCTTAATAATATCATGCTAACTTTGGTTTTTTTCTAATGAAGTATGCTAAGTATGAAAATAAAAAAGTTATTATATGGCTTGTAATTTTCTATGTACACGATCTAAATGAAATCAGTGAGCCACATCTTTCACAGCTTTGGAGCACAACATCTGAATAAAATCACTGAAGTACATCATTCAACAGATTGGGAGTACACCAACTGAATGGCATCAGTGAGCTACATCCTTCAATAGACCAGAAATGTATCATATGCGAACTACAACATTTAATCGATTTGTAGTACACCATTTGCATGAAATGAGTGAACTACATCTTTTAGTCGCTTGTATGTACATCATCTAAATGAAATAATTGAACCACATCCTTCAAAGGATTGGTAGTACACTAAAGAAATGAAATCATTGAAGAGTGCCCTTCAATAGATCTGGAGTACACAATTGCATGCGATCAGTAAACGACATTCTTCAATATATTTGGAGTATACCATCTGAATGACATTAGCGAACCTACATCCTTCAATTGATTGGAAGTATACACCATCTGCACGAAGTCGGTGAACTACATCCTACAAGAGCTTGTGAGTACACCATCTGAATGTAATCAGTGAATAGCATCCTTCAATAGAATAGGAACACAATATCTTCATGAAATCAGTGAATACATCTTTCAATAGAATAGGAGTACACCATCTGAATTAAATCAATTAACTACATCCTCTAATAAATTGGAAGCACATCATTTGAGTGAAATCAGTGAGCTACATCCTTCAATAGATTGAGAATGAAATTTATTTCTAATTGGAGAAGACTGTCGTACCTTGATTATCGTTTCGTCTTTTTTGTGCACCAAGCTGCATCAAAAACTTTATTTTAAAATATCTAGGACTACTACGTTATTTCTTGTTTTCCAAAAAAAAAAGAGAAATAAATTAATTAGCAGATTGAAAAACTATCAGTTTCTTTGTGAGACATATTCGGATCATGGCTGGAATACATTTCACCCATTTAAAGTACCAAGTATAGTTATCCTAGACACTTTGTTTCCCATTTAAACATCCCTGTTCGGAATAAAGATTTGCCAACAACATACTTATGATTGAACTGTTTAACAATTCGATTGACAGAAGTCGTATAGAATATTCACATGTGATTAATTTTCTGTGATGTGTTCATTCAAACCTGAATCATTTCGACAATAAAGAGGTAAGGCATTAAAATCAAAACTACACACATTTTCAAAAAGGTAGTTTAATAGCAAGGTCCAGAAACAAATAGCCATAACTGCCTGACAGGAATATGTCTATGTGTGTACATATATATTTATATACACACTAAATTTTCCCCTGTTTGATTGCACTTCACTTGGAAAATCCAATGAGTCAAAAGTGTTTTGTTTTTATAGTTTCTTTGATTTGTAAAACAACTTATACTCATCACGAAAGCACGCACTTAGTGGCTTCTGTATGCGATTTTTGGTGTTATTTTAGGACGTATATAAATATTTTAACATTTGAAGTATTGCTTATTGTTCTTTTCTGTATATTCAGGCGAGTACAGACATATAAGGTTTATTATTTTATTTTTGATTTTTAACATTGTAACTTTTCCGTGCTCTAAGTCCATCTTTGGTTCCCTCTTCTTTATTATATCACTAGCGAAAGTACCCGGCTTCGCTCGGGATATTAGATTGATACATTCTAGATGACTGTGTTATAGATAATCATAGATGCTACTCTACGTCACCTTAACTAAACTATATATAAGCCAGTGTGGGTCACGTCATGTTTGATTTTAAACTTAACTCGTTACTGAATTAAGGTATTTTCTGTTATATCACCAACGTTTTTAATAAAAAACAAACCTCTTTAATCAATAAACACTCTAAATTAAGAAATAAACAAATATTTTTCGAGTTTTGTTGTTTATACATTTCATTTCATATTTTCATCACATAGACTAACAACAATATTAGCATATACTTTTGTTGGTAAGCGACATAAAAGCCATTGTTAAAACACGTTGTTACCAAAACGCACTGGCTTTTCTATATATTAGAGGTTGTTATATATGGAACCACTTCTTTTCTATGTACTTTTTTGCTAGCTTGCCTCATTTAAAAGATGCGCACGCACGTGGATAAGATAAGTAATAATACCAAAGTGCACATCCTCAGGGTCTACTTAGTATGGTTGTAGAAACTCAGGTTTCTAGGTTCTTTGTTCTTGGAGCTATGGTGGTCACACATTCACAGACACGCATGTGCGTGTCTGTCTGTCTATCTGGTTTTCTATTTGTAATATAAGGAACCAATTTTTTTTTCCATGTGGTTTTTCGCTGGCTTGCCTCATTAAAAAGATGCATATGCACGCAAGTAGATAAGTAATAATACCCAAGTGTAAACCCTAAGAGTCCACTTAGTATAGGTGCAAAATTTCAGGTTTATAGGTTCTTTCTTCTTGGAGCTATGGCGGTCACATTTCTTTTCTATGCGGTTCTTCGCATAAAAAGATGTGCACGCGCATGCGCGCACGCACGAAGATGAGTAATAATACCCAGGTGCACATCTTTAGGGTCCACTTAGTATGGGTGTAAAATTTTAGGTTTCTTGGTTCTTTGCTCTTGGCGCTATGGCGGTCACACAGACATGCCCTTTTATTATTATAGATAAGATGTAGGACCCACGTGACTATATATAGTAAATAAGTAACCGCATGACTACATAAGTAGCCACGTGACTATATACGTAGAGTAAATAAATAGCCACATTTCTCTTAATAAAGTAAATCTTACTTAGAACGACATCAGTACTTTCTGTATAAAAGACAGTTCTTTAATTTGTATTTCGATACTATAAACATTCTGGTTTCAGAATTTCTTTTCTTCTCATTGTATGATCATTATTTAAAAAAAAATACAATTCATTAGAATACTTAAAATTTCACAATTAACTGAAGCTCCAGTTGTCATTCAATATTTCAATTTTGTATATTACGAGATAATGAACGTAGTGTAACTTCAACTGGTATCTAAGATATTGAATGGCCCTTCTGTAGGAAAAAGCAATTAGTATTTGTCGTTATGAAATTTTATTACTCGAAAATAGCTTTGAATAGGGATTATAAGAGGAGCTAATAGTGTAATGTAACGTGAAAGCTTGATTACAGCATTTCTCTTCGTCGATGCTACAAAAAGGGATATGAAGAAATGATTCAACGTTTGATTTCATGTTAATAATAGCTGTTAATTTTAAGGAATCAGGTTTGTTAATATCGATATTGAAAGCAGTATATTTGTTGTAATATCTTGAATTGAGGAAGTTTGAAGTAAAATATTAAATACTTTAATAAAATGTTGTTATTCCACACTAGTCTGGACAATGTTTCATATTTTAAAGAAAACTAATATTACACTTTAGTTACAGAAGAGTTTAATCAGGTACTTTTAGTACTACGTTTACACAAAGTAAGTGAAGATACTACTGACATTTGGCAAAGTGTGGCCCAGTGCTTAGTTTGCCTCGATTGTGAATTCTAGAATTCTTGTTTCGCGTCTCGTTGCTGTAAAAATTCGGTCCTCGTTAAATCCTCATAATTCAGGTCAGATAGAGAAGCTCAAGAGTTGTCGATAAATATCGTTGACTCTTTGCCTTTCTTCTGGTCTGCCAATCCAATGTTGGGGACAGCTATACTCAGATAATCCTGCACGTAACTTTGCGTGAAAATTATTATACAAACAAACAAACTAATGAAAGAACAAGTATTACAAAGGAAAACTGTTTTGTAATATGAATTTTCTCAAACCTTAATGTTTACCATCTTATTACTGTATCTCAGTATGTGGTATTTACGACTGACGAAACCATGGAGTGTGTTATTTTTTTAAATGGAAGAGCGATTAGCATTGGAGGTACCAATAATAAAAATTTACTTGTGCTAAAGCACACTAAAATAGGTTTGCGTAATCAAAAACCTATTTTTTAAAATGCAAAAAGAAAAAAAATAAAGTTTCCAGAAGCCAGAAGTATGATGTACAAGACATCAGTAACAGACAAGAATGTCTCCTGGTCTGAAAAAAGGGAAGTAAAATTTCAATGTATTCCGCTACTGGTTGGCCCTCTAGTGGCAGAGCGGCATGTCTGTAGACTTACAACGCTAGAATCCGGGTTTTGATACCCGTGGTGGGCAGAGCACAGATAACCCATTGTGTTGCTTTGTGCTTAATTAAAAACAAACAAACAAGCTATTGGTTGAGGATGTGATCACCATGATTTATTAAACATTTGACATCTTTATACAGAAAAAAAAACTGTATTATAACAAACGTTCTTGTATAATCTAACTTCAAGATATGAATTTCTTAACTATTAAAAACAAAAAGTAAACAATATTTTCAGTTGCGCAATCTTAGTGCCATTTAGTTAGATTTTTTGGTTTGTTTATTTTTGAGTAGAGTACAATAGGCCATCTGCGTTAAGTCTACACCGGGGAATCTAATCAAGGGCTTTAGCGTTGTAAGTTTACAATTGTTGTTGTTGTTTTTTAATAAAGCTTAAAAAATGAGAAAACGATTCATATATATATTTATTACTTGTCAAACATATCAATAAAAGTAAAGATTCTTAATTGATTTTATTGGAATTAAATATAATTGTTGTTGTTTTGTTATTAAGCACACAGCTACACAAAGAGCTATCTTTGCTCTGCCCACCACAGTTATCGAAATCCAGTTTCTAGCAGTATAAGTCTGCAGACATAATGCTGTGCCACTGAGGGGCGAGTTAAATATAGTTGTTGTTGTTTTGTTATTAAGCACACAGCTACACAAAGAGATATATTTGCTCTGCCCACCACAGTTATCGAAATCCAGTTTCTAGCAGTATATGTCCGCAGACATAACGCTGTGCCACTGAGGGGCGAGTTAAATACTGTCTGGTATTTTTCTTTCTATTTTCAAACATACTGAGAAAACATCAACTATCAAAAATTTAATTAACAACATGTTAATGACCTAAATCTATAAATTTATTCCGTTATCAAAGTAATGAATTTCATTAATCGTTTTGTATTTTTGCTTGAATATTCCAAAGAAAAGAAGCTTCGATGGTTATATTTTGCTAAAATCTCTAGAAATTCATACTTGAACCACAACATAATAGCACCGTTGCATTGGGAAAATGAACGTATTCCTTGAAAAAATCTCTATTACATTGATAACTTCAAATAACTAAATTATTATTTTTGGAGGAAAAAATGAGCAAGTTTAGAAGGAAATGCTTCTAAAATATATATAAAAAAATATTTCAAGTATTTATCAATTAGCCAAAGCTGATAAAACGCTTTGCTATAATAAAGGTCTTTTGAAGTACTGTTATACTTCATCCAAACCTTATTTCGTTTATTTGTTTCTAGTTTCATTAGTTTAATAAGATATGGATAGATGGCGTGGCTGATTAACAAATAAATTATGGTTTGGTTTGAAGACAAATGGGAAATAATTTCAACTTGATTCATGCATGTTTAGTGAAATGTTACTAAGTATAACCAAACACTAAAACAAATATGTCGCCGTTTTTTAGAAAAGTATGATCAAGATAAATATTACCGACAAAGATTTTATTCTTCAAAAGTTGTTTTTGGTGTACAAAATTTGAAGATAGCTTTTATATACGGAAACATATGTTAGCTGAGTTCTTGCACAGAT